TTTTTTGGTATTTTATGCACCATCTTTTATGAAGTAATGGTAGTAATTGGTAGCAGTTTTTTGGTTCTGATACTTAACACAGCAAAATAAAAACTCCAGTTTGGTTCTTTTTTTTTTTGGACATTACTCTTCCTTGAAATCTAAAAGTCTGAGAATCATGTAATGAACAGGTAAAAGAAAATGTAAGAACATTATTTAAGAAGACCATGATTTTGTAGAGGAAAAAAGAACACACACCATTTACAGTTACTTATTTGTCGCCAACTTTTGGAATTAAAAGACCTGAACTTGACATTTACGCATTTAGGTTTGGCTAAACATTTTGAAACCTTTGCAAAGAAAACAAAAACCAGAAAAAAATAAAACGAATGTTAACAATAACAATCTTTGGGTGTGAAAATACATGGGCAATGTATTTTTTTTTTTGGTCCACTTTAGTATATTCTCAGGATTTTCTATGATATATGCACAACTTATTCAAAATGAATTTTAAAATGTAAAATAACTATTTTAATATCACTATGTTTTAAGTATTATTTTAAACATAATAATTCTGAAACAAAATAGAGAATTCCTCACAACCAATCTTCCCTCTGAACTGCTCTTTTTTAAGGCATTGGTAGGACAATCTTCGTTTTTGTCCCAACCAGTTCTATCTATCCTCCTATTAGTAAAAGTGGCTCATCACACAGAAATTCTCAACTTAGGTATCATCCTCCAATCCCTATCCAAAGAAGCCCAGTCTACCAGGAACTGGGCTAACAAAATTGTAATCCCCAACTCTAACCATTTCTGATCTATATAACAAGGAAAGGGTGTCTTCTTCTTTTCCCAGTTCCCAGTATCCTCAATACAGAAACACAGCTGTAAAGGCATCAAATCATCTCAACTTTCCAAGACTAAGCTGCTGTTGACAAAACTGCTAATATTATCTGTTATCTCTCTCAGAATCTAAATACAAAAAGCATCAAACAATACAACAAAAGGATATTTTTCAACAGGCTTTTTTAAATGACTACACTGTAATAATTCATTTGTTACTGAGCATATCACATGTTGACAGTGCTCTATCAGCAGCTCAACTCACAACGGTGGTAAAAATGTTACATTTTATTAGTAATCTGTGAGTTGCTTAATAATTCATATTTTGGTAGGTAACAGCTACAAAAATGTTACATTTCACAAGTCAAAAATGTAAGCTTCATGAAGAAGATAATTGTTTTTGTATTGTGTTCACTGCTGTATTCTCAGATCCTAGAATACCTAACATTTACTTGGTAGGTATTCTATACATATTCATGGAATGAAGAAATAAGTATTATATATGCTAAAATATGTTTTCTCCTATTATTGTAATCTTTGGAAACCGAGACTCTTAACTGTGGAAATATCATCAACCCAGAACAGATCAAGCCCCAGACATCCTGGCAAATGGTCTTCTACTACATTCACACCAAGTCTTTCACTTGGTCCTCATGTCACCACTTATTCGTATGTTCAGTTGGTTAGTCATTAAACATCTCAGTCTCCTGGTCTAATAACTACAAAACAGTAGATGTATCCATCTTTTAACAACTCTTGGTGTCCAACTAAGTAGAAAATATAAAGTGGCTTAATGTTTATTTCTTAGATTGTTATATACATAAGATATTTTTGAGAAATATGAAAGTAAGGATTTCAATTAGATCTAGTCAGTCTGTCCCATACTTCTAGGAAATTTTCAATACCATAAAAATTCTCACACTTATCTAATGAATGGTCCAAATTACAGGTGTTCGCTTATTACTGTTTGTCACTATGCATGTGACAAAAGTATGGCTTTTACCAGAATGGCCTTATAAACAATGACTAACCAGACAAAATTTAAAATTTGGGAGCCAATCTGATACAACAGTCTTATAAAGATAAAATCTAGTTGAGGAAGGCAACTCAGATTAAAAGTTTCTTTAACCAACAGGAAAATCATTTAATCCCTGTCTCAAATTAAAAATTAAAAATATGATGAACAGTGCTTGAACTAACTTTTATAGACCTTTTGAACATTCGTCTGCCTCAAGATAATGGGTCCACAATACAGTGGTGAAAGTTCTTTGAAAACAAAAGTGACTATAAAAAAACTTTCAAAAAGTAAAAAAACAGTGAAACTTCTTAATATTTTCCAAGGAATAACACTTTTAAAACATTTGTCCAAAACAACAAAACAGGAAATGTGCTTTGTGGACCCTAGAAAGAACTTTTAAAACAATACTATTTGAAAATAGGGTCAACAGAGAAAACACCATAATAAAGCTGTCTTTTACTTTTAAAAATTGGGTAAAACCCCATTATACTTACTTTGTAAATAGTGCAAAACCATCAATACAAGACTATAGCTGCTTAAAGTACCACGACTGGCATCATTTATCTGATGGTGACTTGCCCACTTCTTAATCACCAGCACTAACGGACGAACTCGATTTTCAACTGAAAGTAAAATTAAAACTTAACATGGTAAGAGACATTATAGTTTCTTTGAAAGTTTACATTATTTCCCAGATCCATGCCAAAATAAAGAGCACTGTCTCTGTGTACATTAAACACTGTGTCTATTCACCACAAATGTGTCTTATGTCTAAAACTCACCTTAGTTACCTTTTAAAAATTACCAATTATTAAAATGCCACTTGATTCACCTATAACTGATAGTATATGATTTTAGTGTAGCAACATATACAAATAAAATAAGATATACTTAAACACAACTAAAGGGATGTCACTATTTATGACAAACATCTTTAAAAATGAATAAAGAAAAAAGAGGCTAATTTTTTATAAACAAACCACAAACTTACGGTATGCATAAGTTCTGAGAAGGAATGTGTTTCTTATTCCAACAACATTGTTTACATTCAGGTCAAACTCCACACAACTATTTAAGAAAAAAAAAACAATAAACTTTAGCTGAAGAACAAAAACACTTCCTTCCTAATAACTAAATTAATGCTCATCCATCCCATGATGCAAAATAGCATGGGCCCAAAGGCCATAGA